TGCCTGAAATATTCTATTTTTTTTTCTTGAAACACTTTTCTTTCCACATTTTTTTCCCCTAGCTTAGACATAGTAATTGATCAAAAATGTTGAAGTGGCTGGTAAAGTACAGATTTGGGCATTTCAGGAACAAATCCTAGATTCCTCAACACCTACTTCAATTACTTCCATTGTGAAAGCTGAAATATTAATAGTAGTGTCTGGGTATTATGTAGTTCCTGAGTGTTCTCATCCTCCTCCACAAAGTATGTGTGAAGTAATTTACAATTGTTTCCAGTATTTATGTCCTCAGCGCCCTACCATGAATCTGTTATGGTTAAGGATATTAACGTAAACCCTGTGAATTGAAAACAGATTTTGTTTTCATGGCTATGTTAAATTCAACGGTCTTAAGCAAACCATTGTGAATTCTTTTGACTTGAGTTAGATATCAGAAATTCAGTTATTTTTCTATAATCATATAAATTTGTAGTTATAATGGCGCAGTGAAGAAAATTTACAATACTGTTTTGTAAACTTTAAGATACTGCATGGGACCAGCAGTTAGCATAATGGCTATGTTGCTGGACTCCCATGTAGTTGACCGCGGTTTGAGTTCCGGACCCGGTGGCTTAACTCACACCGGACACGTGTGTGTGAGCCTAGGATCCCGAGAGGAGAATGGAGGAGAAGGGACTGCAGTGTGGCCATCCCCCCTGGGGGATGATTTCTCACTTTCTATCTCTCTCTGTCTTTCTGGCGAGCGCACACGCCCTATAGCAAAAACCTCTCCAAAAAAAAAAATTGCATTTTTTTATTCATACTTGAAATATTTAATAACTGTCACTTTCATTCAGAATCATATTTTGACCATCTTGGGTAAAATTAAGACTTCATATCCAAAGCAAGAAATTAAGTCACTTAGGCTCTTGAAATCTAAGTCAAAGAAAGAACAACATACAGACTGAACATCTTTAAAATACAAAGCCAGGGACCAACAGATGATGTAGCAATTGTGTTGCTGGACTTCTAAGTGGCTGACTGTAGTTTGAGTCCCAGCCTTGTGGCTCCAAACTCACACTGGGTGCCATGTGTGTGAGTGTTGAAGATCCCAGGAGAACATTGAAGGGATTTTTGGCATGGCCATTGCTCTTGGGGGTGGTGGTGGTGGGGGGTGATTTCTTGCTGTCTGTCTCTCTGGTGAGTGCAAAAATTTACAGCAAAAATCTAAAAAAAAAAAAAATTAAAAAAAAAAATCCCAAAATACAAACATCCCCAAACAAATTTTGACCTGTCATGAATTAAGACTGAGGTAAAAAGAATAGAAAATTTCTCTATTCCTATATTCTTAAAAAGGTAGCAACTTTAACTTCTAAAAACTGCTTTCACTCATCTGACCATAAGACAAAATCAGGAGGCTCTTGAGAGTTCATTTTGATTTTTATTACAAACTAGACATATGAACCAAGCGATTAGGATGATTCTCTATCTCTTTATATCACAGGACATATATCTCTACCTCCTTCCCTTTTTGTAATTTTATGATTCATTTAGGACATAGTAAAAGAAACCAGGAAAGGCAGTTTAGAAATAACATTATTATAAAGCTATTTTTGGAAGCTAGTAGTGTCTTGCTGATTAAGAATATCAAGCCTGTGTGCTCAAGACAGTCAGCAACATATTTTCAACTTCTACTATTTACTACTGGACATTAAAGAAAAAGTGGCCCCCTAGAATCTTCCAGTCTTGTCAGCTTCCTCCATCCAGTAACTTCTTAAAGGCTGTGAACACAGTACATAGATAGTGGACTGGAAATATTTTTTCTGTGCACTCAAGTCATGGAGACCATACACTCATCTCTACTTCTTTTGTAGGTGTGTGTTTTAACTGTCATGGTGGCTTTTGGGGTTGATGGCATAGGATCTCTACAAGTTACAAAAAATATGACTGGTTATAGTTACATCTACCTAATAGACGATTTGGGTGAGTCACTGCTGGAGAGTAAAATACTGTATTCTTAGTCCAAAATAAGGGGGAAATGGATATATTCTACCTCATTTACACATAGGTTAAGGAACATTTTTTCTTTTTTTTTTTTTTTTAAGTTTTGTGTTAGAAAGGAGGGACAGGATTTCAATCCTAATTGTGAGGTAGGTAATACATAGAAATAAGAAAAATATAAGACTCTTTTAGGATCTAACCTCTGCCCACCTTTCTAGGTATATGTTGTAATATTTCTCAAATGACACAACAAGGTAGGAATTTATAGTCTTTAACAATCACTGTTTTTGCACTGTGGTCTCCAGTTCAGCCTAAACACTACTCTTTATCTTAACTTAATTGTCACACTTCTTTGTTTTCTTCTAGAGCCTGGGATTATCTCAGGAATACATGCTAGCAAATCACATTTTGTACATGCATTTTCATCTCTCTCATGTATTACATTACAAACTACTACAAGAACGAACCAGCCTTTTTTTCTTTAATCAATATACCAAAAGCACTTTATAAATGTTTTTTGAAAGAATGTGGAAAGAAATATAAATATTCAATTTATAAGTATTAAGTATTTGACGTCGTAAAATAGTCAAAACTGTTGGGATCAGCAGTAATGGTTACATTGCTGGACTCCCACTTGGTCAATCATGAGTTGAGTCTGGGACCAGGTGGCTTTAAACTCACACTATGTGCATATTCAAAATCCTGAGGGGAGATTGGAGGAGAGGGGACTGTGGTGTGGCCATTCCCCCTGGGGGGTGATTTCTTGCTTTCTGTTTTTTCTGGTGAGAGCACACACCCTATAGCAAAAATCTCTCTCTTAAAACCAAAACTTAGAAAAACTGTTAATTCATTGAAACTCCTATTTTGTCCGAAAATTAGACTGATCATCTTATTGGGACCAGCAGTTAGCGTAATAGCTATGTCGCTCGAACTGCGGTGGACTCCCACGTAGTCGACTGCAGTTTGAGTCCTGGACCTGGTGGCTTAAACTCACGTGTGCGTACGTGCGTGCCCAAGATCCCGAGAGGAGAATGGAAGAGAAGAGATTGCAGCATGGCCATCCCCCCTGGGAGTGTGATTTCTTGCTATCTCTCTGTCTCGCTCTGTCTGTCCGGTGAGCGCACATGCCCTATAGCAAAAACCTCTCGGGAACCAGCAGTTAGGTAATGGCTATGTCGCTGGACTCCCACGTAGGGGACCGGGGTTCGTGTCCCGGACCCGGTGGCTTAAAACTCACGCCAGGCATGTGTGTGTGCGTGCCCAAGATCCCGAGAGGAGAATGGAGAAGGGATTGTGGCGTGACCATCCCCCCTGGGGGGTGATTTCTCGCTTTCTGTCTCTATGTCTCTCTCTGTCTGTCTGGCGAGCGCATGCGCCCTACAGTGAAAATCTCTCAAAACAAAACAAAACAAAACCTCTCCAAAAAAAGAAAAAAAGACTGATCAACTTATTACTAAGATAGAATCTATTACAAATTACACATTACTATTATCTCAGTGTGGAAAAGTTATTGTGAATTTGAACATGTAAGAACATTTAGGATAGTGCTTGCCACAGCAGATCAATGCATTCAACCCCATTGTTTTAATGGAGTTAAATCTCAATTTTTTAAGCCTGAGTGAATTCAACAGATTATATGGCATTTTGACTGATGATCTTTTTTTTTTTTTTTTTTTAAATAGTTCTTTATTCATTCATTTATTTTAATTTGACGAGAGAGCGCACGCAAATCACCAGGTCCAGGACTTGAACTGTGGTTGGCCATGTGGGAATGTCGAGCACCTTAACCACCACATTACCTGCTGGCCCCTTTACTGATGATCTTTTAAGTTTCCCTGGCAAGGAGACACTCTCCTATCATAGATGTTAGCACAGATGAAGCCAATTAGGAGCTATCAGTACAAAACAAATTCCAAGAGGTGGAATCAAAGCACTCTGGAACCAGAAATATTGCTAGGAAGAACATCTGAACATGGCAAGCTATGGACCTCAGTGTCTATCATTCCACCTCGCCCTGCAATAGGTCTTTGTGACAGAGGCAGTCCACCTAATGCTTACATTCATCTTCAATCCTCTCTGCATTCCACCAAGGCCACAAGAGAAAGATCTGAGTAGTTTGTGGGCTTAAAACCACTTACACTGCCCTTTGGGTTAGAGAACAGGGTTCAGTTGCTAATGCTTTGGAAAAAAAAAAATGAAGAAAATGTTAATTGTTTTTCTTCATAGGATCCTGTCTTTCTCTCCTCCCAAAGAGCTTGTGTTTGTAAAGGTCAGAATGGTTGGAGTTAGAAATCAGTTGGCTCCCACCCTGTTAGCATCAATACACAGCAAAAAACTTTATATATGTTAATCTATATTTTCCAAAGAAACAATTTTATCTTCTACTTCCCACCTACCTCTTCCAAAATGCCAAATATAGTAATGTCTTAGAACTGATTAGCTAGAATATCCTCCCTTTCATATTAGATTTGTTAGCACATTAAAAAAATGGTTGACATAGCTTTTGAAAGTCCAGTTGGCAGCAGAGCTGGATAGCAGATGGCTATCCAGAAATTGGACCCAGAAAGGTGACTTACTCTGCATGCATATGCTGATGGAAGAGTCCTATTTTGGGATACCCTGTAAATCCTTGACCTAATGTAAAGCCTGAGATACAGCTCAGAGCAGGAAAAGTTATCATAACCTGATTCCTTGTCTAATGTAAAAGTAACCACACTTAACCAGCTTTGTACATGCCCAAACCAGAAAATAAATACACTAAAAGTCTATAATAGCTCTTTTGCAAAAACAAACAAAATCCACAAAAAGGTAAAACAAAGCATATTTTACTTAGATGTTTCCTAGAATTCATTTCAAGTAGTTTCAAGTGGTCTTTGAGTGGGCTTTATATCCTATACTTTGTTACTGTAGGAAAAGCTAACAGCAAATTCATTTAAAAATAATTCTTAAATAATTTTCTTTGAAGAAAAAAGGGGGAGAGTGTCTTCATTTTACCTCTATGGAAAACTGATAGATGAAAATAGTATCTAATTAATACCATTTTTAACAGGTAATTTCTAGCTAAGATTAAAGCCTCTCTTAGCTTTGAAATTTTAACTTAATTTCAGCTGAATCTTAAGAAATGTTAACCATAAACTTAAAATAACTGTTCTACTTCAATTTTATGTCACATGGCTAATATTCCTCTTGCCTAGACAAAAAATTGCTGAAGGTCTTCCTTTACCACCAGAGCTCAAAGATACCTAAGTCGTAAGTAGGTGTGGAGACTTTACAGCTGCAAAATTACATAAGAGATTCCAGTTTAAGTCGACACACAAACATAAAGTGCTATATTAGAAAACAAAACAAAAACACATTTCATTTGAGGGCAATGAAAACAAATGTTTCATTTTTGAAGATCTGACACTACAAAGAATGAAAACACATACAAGGTTATCATTCTATAATTATTCTGGTTTGTTCTTTTCATTCTAAGAATGCTGTCTTTATCAAGAATGAAGGCTAGATGGTAAAACTGATGCTTAACACATTTATGTATACTTGACCAGAGATTGTAGAGGCTACTATACCAGTTGGGTATTTTAAACTCTCTTCTGTTAAATATGAACATTTTCCCAATACTATTACTAAGTCACATCTCATTCATTTTCCTCTTTAAGAACTGCATAGGCTTGTTTTAAATGTATGTAATAAACTATAGTTTGCTGAGAGTAGAGGTACTCTGGTTAATGATCAATAAATGGTACAACGAGTGGAAAAGCATTACTAAACATGGATGTAATCCTTACCAACATGAAGAGAAACATTTTTTTTCTCAATAAAAAAAGCTAGTCCACAAAAAGTTCTCATTCTATAACGATTTATCATTTCCAAACCACAGTGAAAAGAACTGCAGTAATTTACCAATTTTGAGTTTTACTATGTGTCTTCAAGACACCTCACTAAAAACTTGTATCTGTCAAAATAATAATTAAATTTACAGAATGTAATATTGCAGTGACAGTGCTGAAGTTGATTGTTACAGCCTATTAATCTCTTTGAGTATCATTATATCTTAATTACTTGTACAGAACATTGGTCCAATAACATAGAGAACAGCATTTGGAAATTTATCTCATTCAGTGTTCAGAGATAAAACAGTTAACCATTCTTTTCATTATTTTCTGCAGATAAGTCCTTGCTCACGATGAAATCTGATAGCAATTAAATACTGGCATTTTTCCAAGCTACTGTACGAAGAGGATGCTGAAGGCCATCACTATACAGCACACAGCAACGTATGGGCTCTTCCGTTCACCTGTTGAAAATGAGAGATTCATCATGATTAACTGAGTATCTAACATGGACATGGTAAGGTCTTCACTATGGAAGAGGCTAGATGTGTAAGAACCAAGATAAAGTTCTTGGCTCTGAGGTCCACACATTTAGGAGGTTGGGCAAAACAAGGAACTATTAATAGATACAAGAGAAAACAAGCACAATAAAGAATAAAATAAACTATACTTATTTCAGACCACTTTCTTTTCTTCATGTATTTAGAAAACCCTAAAAGCACCATTCCTGTATGCTGGGGGGTGATCTCTGCCTGTTTCTGTCTCTCTTTGGAGAGCACATGTACCCTACGGCAAAAACCTTTTAAAAAAAAAAAAGTGGAATATAGAATGCAGGAAAGAGCTCCAAGAGAAAACAATTTAAAAAACTCAGGTAAGGACAGAGAAATATTTTCTTCCTGTTAAAAAAGAAAGAAGGAAGGAAAGAATGAAATTTCTATCTACTAAAAGAAACCCAACATATAATTTTTAACCAGAATTTTTTCTTTACTGGTAGCAATTCATGACACCTGAGAGGGAGAAGGGAGGCAGTCACTGAAGAGAATATGCAGAGCATAATTGTTAATAAAGCTGCTTTCTAAAAGTTCACATAAAATTAAAGGCTTAATAAAAAAAATAGTTAAAAAAAACCTTTTGGAGATACATTTTGTATCGAGTTTTTTATAATATGATTACTTTGGGTTAAAGATATAGAACTTAAAGGGCTGGCAGTTGGCGTGGTGGTTAAAGGTGCTGGGATCCCACATGGCCGACCATGGTTTAAGTCCTGGACCTAGTGGCCTGCTTTCTCACCCTCTCCCTCTGATGAAACTGGAATAATAATAATAATAATAATTAATATATTTAAATAAAATAATTCTTAAACATTTCTTTTAAATAAGAAAATATAGAATTTAAAGCAATCACTGTTGTATAAGCCAATTTTCATATGTGTTTAAGGAGTTTTTATCTGGGGACTTTCCCTTATATGAAGTGGACTTAAAGATGACCTTTGAGATTGCCTGGCAAACAGAAAGCTTGTGATTGGCAGTTAACTCAAACTCACCTTGTTTTTTTCTATTTCTACAGGCAGCAGGCATTTATCTGTTGCTTTGGGAAGAGCATGAAAAAGGAAGAAGGAAGAACTAGCTTCTAGAAATAATCTTGGTTATGGACCTGCTGTCCTTGCTTAGAAGGGGTTTATACACTTGTACGTTCACTCACTTGTGTTTTTCTATAATGTTTAAAGCTCTATCCCAGGAAGTTAAGTTTCTTTTTTTTTAAAGACTTATTTTATTCAAATACACACACACAAACACATATATTTTTTAATTTGACCAGAGAGAGACAGAGTGTGAGAGATAGGGACAGTGAGAAAGCAAGCTGCCAGGTCCAGGACTCAAAATGAGTGACCTTTGAGATTGCCTGGCAAACAGAAAGCTTGTGATTGGCAGTTAACTCAAACTCACCTTGTTTTTTTCTATTTCTACAGGCAGCAGGCATTTATCTGTTGCTTTGGGAAGAGCATGAAAAAGGAAGAAGGAAGAACTAGCTTCTAGAAATAATCTTGGTTATGGACCTGCTGTCCTTGCTTAGAAGGGGTTTATACACTTGTACGTTCACTCACTTGTGTTTTTCTATAATGTTTAAAGCTCTATCCCAGGAAGTTAAGTTTCTTTTTTTTTAAAGACTTATTTTATTCAAATACACACACACAAACACATATATTTTTTAATTTGACCAGAGAGAGACAGAGTGTGAGAGATAGGGACAGTGAGAAAGCAAGCTGCCAGGTCCAGGACTCAAAATGAGGTCGGCCATGTGGGAGTCCAGCGCCCTTAAGTACATCACCACTTGCTGGTCCTGGAACTAAGTTTCTTATTTCGCTTAAGTTAACTACCTCTGGCAAATGTCAATCCTAACCACCCTTATTAATTAACATCTCAAAGTCTTTTCCATTTCAGAGCCTCCTCAGTAAGCTCGCTTTGCCTTCTTATTAGTGAGTTTATATTTTTGTGTCTACTAAATGACAATATTCATAAGAAATATTATCAACTAACATTATCAGTAATATTATCATTTAATAACAATCATTTTGTATTTAAATGAAAGTATTTTTTCAATTCATAGTCATTTAAAGGACTGCTTCCAGCTACAGGAAAATCTAGAAGGCAAGAGAATGTGTTTTCCACCACCTCATATGTAAAACAAAACTTCTAAAAGAAAAAAAATCTAAAATGAGCATAGTAGGCATGTTAAACAGCTTCTTGGGAAGGTGAAGTAGACAGCAAAAATCTGCCTAAAACAACTGCCTGCACTCAAACACAGTAAGTGGGAGGAGAGAAAATAAAAAATACTAAGATCACAATTTTTAGCAACTGTAATTCTTCTGAGGTGAAAAACCCAAGGTATCAAACAAAACAAAAACCCCATTTATACATAAACTTCAGGTAGATTTCAAAAGGAAGCCAGTTAATCTTATTAGGGATATATATTCTCATTTTCTAATACGGTCTTACTAAACATAAAGAAGAAGAAACTGATAGTGTCCTAAGTTTTCAATTTGGTAGAAATTAATTTTTGAGGAAGTTCTTGTCTTCCTAATGCCCTGACTTAGAATGCTATGATTTACATATGGGTTTCATTTTCCTGTTTTTAATTTTCTTAAAAAGAGATTGCCATGTGGTAGAGCAAAACATCTTTGGTTGAACTTGAGTAAGAATGTTACTTCTTGTCTGGTCTTAGGTCTTAAAAGTGAATGTGAAACAGTTGCTGTAATGTGATGTGTAACATGATAAGATGATTTGGCTGAGTCTTTCCCATTAAAATTGCATCCTTTCTTTGTGGAAATATTCTGTACCAAGATAAGAGAAGCATGTGGTTGGAAAAGCAGAATCTCAGCACCAACATTTTCTAAGCCACTGGCAACATGAAAAGCTAATATTTTCACATAATCCAGAGGAATGAACATTTTAATTGAACCATTTGACCTTGACATTCATATAGTTAAGAGAAGGAAAAAGGCAAAAAAGGGCACTATTCATAATTAATCATAAAAAATACATTGTACTACAGGAAATGATTAGGAAAGCTACAAACTAGATGTCTTACATTTTCAGCTATACTCTCTTCAAGTAATAACCGTGAACAAAAGCCTCACCAGGGTTGACTACTGAATGCGGCAATACACACTTTATTATTTTATTACATAAATGGACTTAAAATACCCCAATATTTTCTGGATGAGTTAGCAACTTAATGATACAACTGAGATGAAAAAACCTGGCCTCCCTCCTAACTCCAGACTTTCCAGACTTGCTTTATCATATGTCTCTCTTTACAGTTAACTTGAGGGTTTTTTTTTTTTTTTTACTACTCTGTTCCTTGGCAATATTCTTTTATTTCTTTTCAGGTTGACCTGCCCCTGAAGCCAGCAATTTGGGTTAGATATATTTATATTTACTGTTAGCTATCAGCATTAGCCATTTAGGGTACTATTTTATCTTTTTCTCTATTTGGTTGTTTTACTTCAATTTTCTTCTGTTATTTCTAGGTTTGCAGCTGTTGTGCATGACTGAGTGCCAGATAATCTGTACCACCAATTCTCAGTTAATCGAAGCCAGGCCTTTTCAATCCAGCACTATCTATGCTTTGGAATGAGTGATCTGTTGTTTAGATGATGTCCTGTGCATCCAAGGACATTTAACGACATCCCTGACCTGCACATGTACCACTCTCTAGCTGAGACAATCAAAACTATTTCTTAATATTGCCAAGAGTTTCCCGTCTGATAACTACTTATCCAGGTTATAGCTGTGCTTTTACCAATTTAAGGTTAATAATGTTCCATACAAAAGAAAAGGAAGATAGACATGAGACTAGGAACAAAAGGAAAATAAAGTGTAACAAAGAACACTGATGAACAGTTTAACTTGTTAAAAGTACACTTAATTCTCCAGATGTCTGTTTCAATATTTGCTACATTAGAATGAGACTTAAAATACATACTCTTCTATAAAGCCATTTTTGTGGATACTACGCTTTCCCATCTCAAGAAATCTGAAAGGTTGAAGAATTGTATTATCTCATCATCACAGATTTTTAAAAAAGATTTCTGAGAAATGTAGTATTATGCTTGTAATTTCTACTATGATAGGCCTGATCTGTCATTAAAAGCTCAAGGGAAGAAACCTGTTCTCAAAATTATTTTAATGGCTAGCAACTTATAAATCTTAGAAACTGCTTCAAAGATTTGAAAACTATTTTTTTTTTTTTTTTAAAGATATTCCAGTGCCCTTAACCACCATGTTATCTGCCGGCTCCTTGAAAACGAAATGCTATCTTCGAAAATATATCAATTTCCAGGTCTTCATCTTTTTCTTTTTTTTTTTTGGGAGAGGTTTCTTTTTGCTATAGGGCGCGTGCACTCGCCAGACAGAGAGACAGAGAGACAGAAAGCGAGAAATCACCCTCCAGGGGGGATGGCAACGCCGCAATCCCTTCTCCTCCATTCTCCTCTCAGGATCCTGGGCACACACGCACACATGCCTGCCATGAGTTTTAACCCACCGGGTCCAGGATGCGAACCGCAGTTGACTACATGGAGTCCAGCGACATAGCCATTATGCTAACTGCTGGTCCCCAGGTCTTCATCTTTAGAAACATTTCTAAACTTTATAATAATTAGATTACAATAATTTAGTTGGTATTGTTCAATCTCTACTCAATTCTGTTTCCTGTTATGAAACATATTCTGAATTTTCCACATTCCTGAGAAGTTGAAAACCAAAATAAAACACAATATTCTAAAAAGAACACTTTATCTAAAGGCAATGACTCAAATATTCCATTCTTTACAGGGTCTTCAAAAAGTTATGGAAAATGTGGGATCAGCAGATGTTGTAATATTTATGTTGCTAGACTCCCATGTAGTTGACCGCGGTTCTAGTCCCAGACCTGGTGGCTTAAAAGTCAATCCAGGTGCATGTGTATGCATGCCCAATATCCTGAGAGGAGAATGGAGGAAAAGGGACTGCAGCGTGGCTATCTACCCTGAGGAATGATTTCTTGCTCACTCTCTGGTGAGCATATGTGCCCTACAGCAAAAATCTCTTTAAAAAATTTAAAAGGTTCATAGGAAATGTATAACAGATTAAAAAGTATGCATGGATCTCACATTTTTTTTTTTTGCACCAAAATAAACTCATACTTCAATTCCATTTTTCCATGAACTCTCTGAGGTGCCCTCAAAACACTGAAAGGGATTAATCTGGGGAATTGAGGCTGTTGTCAGACTGGCGAACTAAGTTAAATGTCAAATGTAGGATTTTTTCCTTTATGAAAGTTTGAAAGCTTTATTGAAAAAAGTAGCCACATGTAAATTCACATTTTAGAGGAAAAGTACTAAAATCTAGGGGCTGACAGTAACACAGGGAAATGCAGTACTCTGCTCTGCGTGGCTAGCCCAACTACAAAGGTTCCCAGTTCATGTCTGGAGAGCTCCCTCAACATGCCAAGTGTGCGTCCACGACAGGTCTGGCTGGAGGTCGGGAGGATCAAAGAATATAGTGCTGGGTGCCTGTCTATCTTGCTCATGGAAGATATGAAAAATAAACTTAAAAGAAAGAGAAGAGGGACCAGCAGGTGGCGTGGTGGTTAAGATGCTAGACACTCCCACATGGCTAACCACAGTTTGAGTCCTGGATCTGGTGGCTTGCTTTCTCTCTCTCTCTCTCTCGTCAAATTAAAGTAAAATAAATGAATACATAAAATTAAAAAAAAAAAAAAAGAGAAGAGTACTAAAAATAAAAATTTTTTTGGTCATATGAATAATTCTAAAAAGTACAGAAAATACTCATTTTCAGTCCTTGTGATGGAATGGTTTTTCTTTTTTTGGGAATTAGGCATGTCAATAATGGGTATAATATTTTATTTAAGAATACTGATGAATTACAGAAATAAAATGCATTATAAAAACATTTACTGGGACCAGCAGTTAGCATAATGGCTATGTTGCTGAACTCCCATGTAGTTGACCACGGTTTGAGTCCTGGACCCGGTGGCTTAAACTCATGCCAGGTGTGTGTGTGCATGTGTGCCCAAGATCCCGAGAGGAGGATGGAGAAGGGACTGCAGTGTGGCAATCCCCCCGGGGGGTAATTTCTCGCTTTCTGACTCTGTCTTTCTAGCGAGCGCACACGCCCTATAGCAAAAAAACCTCTAAAATAATAATAAAAAAAAATTTACTTACCAATAATTTGAGACTCTATTTTGTGCTTGGTACAATGTTAAAAGAGGAATGAGGTAAGATTATCTATAAACACACTTAAGATGCTGTTAATCTTCTTATGAAATGTTAGAAGATAACATTTATTTTAATATTAACCAATTAGGACAAAGGTCAGCTATGGTCACATACAAGTTAAGGAGTTCAGCATACAAAACAATTAAACATTCTATGATTTAACATACAGCAATAAAATAATTATGTTTAGATGGTTTCTTAGAAACCTTTTACTATACAGGACATACATTTTCAAGTTATCAAAATGGTACACAATATGGAGGATGGCATGCTCTATACTTCAAACATGTAACATAATAGGGCTGGCAAGTGGCATGATGATTAAGGCACAAGACTCCCACACAGTTGACTGTGCTTTGAGTCCTGGACCTGGCAGCTTACTTTCTAATGTTCCCTCTCTCTCTGGTCAAATTTAAAAACAAACAAATAAATAAATAAATATTTCTTAGAAAAATGAAAACATTGAAAACATATACCATAAAACTACATTTATTTGAAAGTTTAAAATCTCCTTAAAAATCTGAAATGCATGCATGGTATTTGATTTTTTTTTTTTTTTAATTTGCTATAGGGTGCATGTGCTTTCAAAAGACCGAGTTAAACAGGAAAAGTGAGAAAACACCCGCAGAGCGGATGGCCATGCTGCAATCCCTTCTCTATTTTCCTTTCAGAATTTGGAATTTGAGTTTGCACTCACAGGTATCTCATGTATTTTCAAGTCGTCAGGTCTGGTACTCCTAACACAGTCAGCCATGTGGAATCCCTCCACCTTAACCACTACCCCATAGCTGGCCCAGTTGTACTATCTTAATAATCGGAGAGATTTTTCTTGTACTTTTCAACTCTTGTTAATGAAGTATTATGAAGTATCTACCAAATCTAGTTTTTATTTATTTTTTTTGAGAGATGTTTGCTATAGGGTACATGCATTTGTCAGAGAGAGAGAGAGAGACAGAGAGTCATAGAGACAGAAAGTAAAAAAATCACTCCCCACAGGAGAGATGGCCATGCTGCAATTTCTTCTCTTCCATTCTCCTCTTACGATCTTGGGAATGAACACATACCCATCCAGTCTGAGTTTTAAGCTGCTAGGTCTGGGACTCAAACTGTGGTCGACTACGTGGGAGTTCAGCGACGTAACCATTATGCCATTTGTTGGCCCTCCACCAAATCTAGCTTTAAATAGCATAAGGAAAGGGGCTAAATGGAACTCTACAGACTTTTGCAAAAATAAGTAAAACTGGGAAGCCTACACTTTTAAAACTGACATATGATTAGTATGAACATGACATAAGTTGACAATTTTTAGCTGAAGAAATGGAGAGAGATTATAGATACTTACCAATTCTGGCACACTTCCAAAATATACCCAATAGTCTGCATAGAATGAAAAGAAAAAAAGTGGCTCTTGATTATCACGAAAGGTCAGTTATTTCCTTAGTATTACACAGAGAATGATACACTGTCATTTTAATCTTTAATGCTTTACTAGGAAATCTGCTTGTTTAATATTGAGCTAGCATTTATGTACAAAAATACAATACAATAGCCTATCAACCGTCAATGTATAGAAACTGCTACAATCTGGAATAAACATGGTGTCACAGGTCAAACTCAGGCTAAATCCACATGAGAATAGCAAACATTTGGACAAATGTACTGTACTGGGCCCAACCATGGTAGCGCAGTGATAACACAATGCTCGGTGATGCCCACGTCACCTGTGAAGGTCCTTGGTTTGTGTCCCCAGGAGTCCCAGTATACACAGGCTGTGCATGTACTTGTGACTATGATTCAGGCTGAGAGTGAGGGTAGGATCATACATGAAAACCCTGCTGAGGATGCCCCCTTCTCTTTCCCTCACACACTTTCTTGCAGATAAAATAAAGGAATAACTTAAAAAGTAAATTTTTTGCTGAAGTTTACTTTATGAATTCAACTTTAAGTGCTTTACCTTTAAAAGAAGAAAATTTATATGCCAAAAACTTTATCTCCAAAAAAGTATTAATTTTGAGAAAATAACAAATGAATACATATTTTAGATGAATTATGACATTTAAAAAATACTAGAAATCGTGAGACCCAAGCCTTTCATTAGTTGGGAAATACAGAATTCGCAGAACAGTATGCTCAATACTATGAACCTATGTGCCATTCAGTGAGGAGTAAGACAAACATATATACCTGTTTTCAAAATAAGTAAAAAAAACTTCTAGTTTAGGGGAAGTGAACAAACTAGGTAAATGAGTTCACTAAAGTTGGCATCTAAAACAAACATTCTGAAAATGAGAATTAGAATAAAGATGTTCACACATTTCTCATCTAAAAAATAAGTTTAAGTGTAATAAGTTCCTGATCTTTAAATGAAAAGTCTCTTAGTTAAGATAAAATGAAATGAGCAAAAACACAAGTATATTTCAAAGGATGGACATTCTCACAGATAAATTTTATTGTAGGAATAAAAGGGCAAAAGTGGTGTAAATTCCTGAAAGAAATACATGCATATACAAAGTACAGACTGTCCCTAAGTTCAGTCCTACTCACTGGCTGTATAACTGTGAGCGAGTTACTTTATCTCTTTAATAATAGCACCTACCCTCTTAGGGTTGTTACAAGATTAAAGGAGTGATTACACTAAGTCCTTACAATAATGCCTAACATGTACTCTGCTCAGTAATATGCAGGCTAAAAGGATATGTGACACTAACTTGAGATATCTCTTAAACCTGGCTTATATTTCCTCGTCAGGAAAAAGTAGACAATAGGTTAGGTATTTGCAAATCCATGGTTTATCCAGTCTAAGAATCTATTGGTTATAATAACATTAAAAATTTAAAGTTACTCTGGTTGAGGCTAAGAGGTAAGGGACCCAGAGCAGAACATTTGAAGCTCTTCCGTTAAAAGCTTAGAGCTCCATGAAACACAATCCAAAACCACAAGATCACAAAGTCAAGGTCTTTTCAAGCCCTCATATTCTAGAAATAACTTAAAGTATCAGAAGAAATTGTACAACATGTTTAGCATACTAATATTAATAGCTTTTTAAGAACAAAGAATCCTAACTTGACAACTCAAGAGACTTAACAGTACCACTTTGGCTTTTTTGACATATTTCTTTACCTAGGCATATTTCTGTAATATCCCAAATGCTATTTAAAAAAAAGAAAAAAAAAAACCTAGAAAATCTGTAAGTTGGTAAAAACCAATTCAATTATGCTACTTAATTTCTAAGTTAGACCCCAATAAGCAATATATGCTGATAATGTCAGTGGGTCTGTGAAACTAGGAAAGGCAAAGTAGCAATCTTTCTTAGCTGCTTAGTTCTTCAAAATTATTTGACAATAAAAGTTATTTTAAATGATTAAGTCATCAAGATCTCATTTTGTTCAATCTGTGCAGACATCTTGATATATTCTCTATAACGAAAGAAAAATTATTAAAAGTCTAACAAAAACATAATTGTAGGGACCAGCAGTTGGCACTGTAATGGCAATGTCGATGGACTCCCATGTAGTCAACCATGGTTTGAGTCCTGGAACCAGTGGCTTAAACGCACGTCGGGCATATGTGCGTGAGTACCCAAGATCCTGAGAGGAGAATATGGAAGGGATGGTGGTGTGTCCATCCCCCTGGGGGATGATTTCTTGTTTTCTGTCTCTCTGTCTTTCTGGTGAGCGCACGCGTCCTATAGCATAAACCTCTCCAAAAAAGAGAAAGAAAAATACATAATTGGAAACAGAAAAGAATAAGGATCAATAAAAAATTTTTTTATGGAAAGTATTTATAATGTACAAATCAAAATAGTGCTTAACATTTATATAAATAGAAATGAATATTTTGAAAAAAGCTTTCAGTTTACTATGTTAATATATACTTAAAATGTAAAAATAGCCATACTGTTTTAAGTCTTTTTTTTTTTTTTTTTGAGAGATTTTTGCTATAGGGTGCCTGTACTCGCCAGAGAGAAAGAAAGAAAGATAGAAAGCAAGAAATCAACCTCCAGAGGTGATGGCTATGCTGCAATCCCTTCTCCTCCATTCTCCTCTCAGGATCTTGGGCAAACACACACACATGTCTGGTGTGAGTTTTAAGCTGCTGGGTCTGGGACTTAAACTGCAGTCAACTACGTGAGAGTCCAGCAACATAACCATTAGGTCAACTGCTGGTCCCATTTTAAGTCTTTTATGTAGGAGAAATATACTACCACTCAACCTCTACTTTAAGGTTGGCAGCCCTGAGAACTCCTTTTTCAATATAGCATGTTATGGATATATTCCTGCTCCCAAAGGAATGAGGAGCAGACATTTCCACATGCAATCTTTTTTCCAAAGCAAAATTTCAAAATAGGGTCAGAAAAGTACAAATATTCTATTACTATGAGACTATTCTTTAATGAGACATTTATCTTAGTAGACAGACATTATATATTACGTTAGAATTCAAAGCAGCTGATCAATGAGATTAAGCATTAATTGGTTTCTAGCATATGCTTTAACTATAAGTTAATAGTTGAGGGTGGAAAGAAAGAAGGAATTAAAGCCATTTACTTGGGTAGGTTAACTCCAGGCACAAGTAAGCAACAAATACGATGATATAAGTTCAATAAATGGTTGAACTATTGAAAAGTCCAGCAGCAGTCAGGAAAAAGTTAAAGTGAAGCAATGAGATAAAAACTTAAGGGAAACGAGCATCCCTTACATGTACCCCCCTAGGCTAACACATTTCAGGTTACTTTTGAAATTTATCTTTTAATACTGTAAGATAGTGTAAATAGGAAGTTAATGGATTTTTTGTTTAGTTTTGTTTTGACCATAGGGTACATGAGCTTGCCAGAGATACAGAGACAGTGAGAAGGGAAAATGAAAAATCACCCCCAAAGAGGATGGCCATGCCACAATCCCTTCTCTATTCTCCTCTCAGGATTTTGGGCATGCACACACAAGTGCCCTGGCATGACTTTCAAGTCTTCTGGTCTTGTACTCCAACCATGGTCAGCCATGTGGGGACTCAGTGTCTTAAGAACACCACCACCTGCAGGCCCCAAGTTTATGGATTTTTAAAAAACAGTAATGATTATCAGATCATTTTATATTCAATACCTATATGAACTAATTTTGGTGATTGGATATTATTAGTAACATACCCAGTTTTATTTCTGTCCAGGAGGCTGGGTGCCAAGGATCGAATATAAGCACAGGTGCATATAAGCAGCAAGATTACAGTCAACAGACTCTGAAAATTGAAAATGGCAGACTAGAAAGAAAGAAAGAAAAGTTAATATCAAAAGAAAAATTGCATAGGCAAAAATAACCAAACAATTCCACATTAAGAATCAGACATTCTACAAAAAGGCAAACAGAATGAAACACTTGATAACATTTAAAGCCAGGATCATGAGGTATTTTAAGAGTGTACTTTTCTCCCATTCTTTGGGCACTAAAATATAAGAGTTGTAAGAAAAATTTTAAATTCAAGAACTTGAAAAATGTCATGAATCCGAAAGAGCTAAGTTGATTTAATATTTAATGAACACAGACTTCTAGAAGTTCAGACTAGACAAAACACTAAGGTCTCTGAGCTCTGCGGTATGATGCCAGGAATCATTAACCTAAGCCTCTGCTTTACCTCTATAAAGTTGGGTAGAGAGTGAGTGGGGAGGTGGGCTTAATGTTGACTAAAGTTTCTTTGAATTCGGAAGGCTTTCTAGGATACCATGCTTTAAATCTAAGAGCTCATGTGTTGACAACAACCAAGCTATTTCGTTCTTGTGAAAGAAAAACATCTGCTCTTTCACTGTAGATTCTTTAAAAGTCATTTAATAGCTTGGGACCAGCAGTTAATATAATGGCTATGTTGCTGGACTACCAAGTAGTTGACTGCGGTTCGCGTCCCGGACCCAGTGGCTTAAACTCACGCTGGGTGTGGGTGCATGCGTGCTCAAAATCTGAAGAGGAGAACGGAGGAGAAGGGATTGTGGTGTGGCCATCTCCCCTGGGGGGTGATTTCTCGCTTTCTATCTCTCTGTCTTTCTGGTGAGCGCATACGCCCTATAGCAAAAACCTCTCTCTCTCAAAAAAAAAAAGTCATTTAATAGCTGAACTCTTACTCCAAAGTTAATATTTAACACAATTAAAAGAAGCCATGTTTCCATAGTCAAACACAGAAAATCATAGGTTTCTAGTTAAAGTAAAATGGAGGTGAAGTTACTCTATTCAAAATTCAGCTCAAGTGTTACCTTTCTCAAGAAGTTTCTTTCAATTCACCTCTTAGTACACGTAGAACTCTCTTTACCATCATAGCAAACTGATAGCTTTAGAACAGTCATTCCTGAAGGGTAGAGTGTATTATTAGAATCTAAATTTCTAGTACCTGACTATGTGCCCGCCATACATAGGAGCCCAATAAGAGATGGCTGAATAAAGTAGATTTTAAACAGTGCAGGAATATTACTATATACATAATAAAAAATAACATTTTCACTATATGTAGGCTGATAAAATATATCAGTCTCACAAAGTAGCTGGCAATATGCTTATTTAATACACTTAGAAGCACTTCCTGTAAAGTCAGGAATAAGACAAATAAGAGTTAGAAGGGAATTCCATAATGTGGCTAGGTATAAAATTAAAATATACACATCAGTGTCTTTATAATTGTGTACTATCCAGTACACTGGCATCAAATGAAAAAGCTGACAAACCTTAAAACGTGGAAAAACATAAAATAGAATAGATCGGTATAGTAGGTTCTTACAGTAGAAGGCAACATTGCAAAGATAAACAAAAAGGAACCCAATATCAACAAGTTATTTTTCAAACAAACAACTGATTTGTAAGTAGCCATGATGAAAAATTTGTTACAATATCCTTTTCATTAATTTACCTACTTTTTAAAAATAATTATTTTATTTAACTTTATTTATTTATTAAATTTTACCAGAAAGGGGCGGGGGGAGAGAAGGAGAACGAGGGAGGGAGGGAGGGAGGGAAGATAAGTGAGAAAGCAAGATGCCAGGTCCAGGACTTGAACCACGGTTAGCCATGTGTGAGTCCAACACCCTTAACCATGCCACCTGCTGGTCCCATTCACCTACTTTTATGACGCATAAAAACTATTGAAAAGTTAATAATATGGTTCATCAATATTTCTAATGACAATAAACTATTATGGATCATGGTAAACGGTTGCAAAAACATCATGCAAGTTTTCATAATTAGTATATTTTTAGCTATATAAATCTTTATGCAAAGTATGGAAAATACAACGATCAAATCCAGATGATTTTCACCTAATTCTTAACTTTTCTTGATTTCTCAAGTTTTCTAATTGTGAACTTTTATGGTCTGAAAAAGGTAAATATACAAGATGTGTAATTATCACTGAAATTTTTTATCCAAATAACTTCTTCATGAATATAGCAAAGGTGAAGTTTAATGTATCTTGCTTTTTAATTAAATTGGGCTTTAATTGTGCATCTGTGAAAGTGATATTACCTTTTATAGCTTAAAATAAACTAATGATCAGTTCTATATAGAAAGCCCATTATCTCACAATGCTTAACTCTGGAAGGTCATATATGCATATATTTTGTCAGAGGGCACGTGTGCTTGCCAGATAGAGAGACAAAACACCTCACAGTGGGACAGGGTTACAATGCAATCCTTTGTCTCCATTTCTCCACCCAGTTGGGATTTGGGGCATGCACGTACACGGGCTGTGATCCTCAAGCCTTTTACTGCTAGGCTATGGGGTCAACCCCAAAGATCATATATTGAACATGTGCATGAATATATTAATAAACAGCATTCGTAATGAAATATAAAGCGGATTCCTCCTAGCCAGCATAACTACTCATGTATTTAATAATTACTTTGTGTGGAAAATAAGGCCAGATACTAGGTATTAAAAAGGCACAATTCATGATTTCCTCCTTCTAGCAATACATAGCTAATAATAACTATTATTGATATTCACCGAGTGCTTATTTTGTACTATTTGCCATCATATATTTAAGTTATATGTTATTACTACTCATATTTTATAGATAAGACTACTGAGGCAAAAGCAGCTACAATCAAATTAGAACAGGAGGTCTATTTCAAAAATTAAGTAGCAACTCACTGTAGCATGTAGAAGTGAGGGACTTAGCCATGTGGATAAAAAACACTGTTTTCCAAAGGGAAAGTCAGGAATATCTCACTTAAAGGATACGGTGTCTGGGATTGGTTTCCAAATGGTCTCATGAGTGTGGTGGGAGAGGACGTGGCTTGATGTCTAAATGCTGAGTGAAGGAGGGCTCATTATAACTTTTATTTCTACCTTTGTTTGGATTTTTTCATAAGATAAAAAGGCACTTAAAATGCTCATTTTAAAGAAGAGTGTAAATGTGGAACCATTTACAAATGAAAACCATTTAAAACCATAAAACATATGTACATACAATGTTTGTACATAGAACTTTGTTCTGGGGGTTTACAACTCTAAAGTTTAAACAAATAATCTCATGTGGTAAAAAGACTTTTAGCTATACTCAGATTGTGGCTAAGAATTTTTTTTTTTTGAACTTACAGACATTAATCAGGCTGCCAATTCAAAACTTAGCATCTCTTGTCCACTGATATAAAACTTTAGTTTTAGGGTTAAAGGAAACAGGTATCTCTATTTAGTAGAAAAATAATTGGAATTTTCAATAGGAAAATGTTATTAAAGGAAAGAAAAGAAAAGAAGCTAAGAAAAAGGTAAGCATTTTGATTCTAAAAGAGGGACAGATGATAAAAAAAGGTGATAAGGAAAGTACAATTTATATACTGTTTTTTGTTCAGATTGTTTAAATCACAAATTTTTATTTCAAAGCACTTTGTCTTTTGCATATTCCATTTGTTCTTGTCTGCTTTACGAAATCTCCCTTCCAGTCTCAACTCTAGAGTCACCTCTGTCTCCCCTGTCCTCATTCACTACACCAAGCAGAATCAGGATTGTACCTTGTATATGCTTGTACCTTACTATCAGAGTGCCCATCAAACTGTCTTATCCTTGTCTCCTCTCTTTATTGAGGTTCTTTTCAGTTGCCTGTGACTACTGTACAAAGTATGACACGATAGCAGTCCCTGAAAACTGCTGAATGAACAGTAACTTGAAGACAATCGGCAGAGATGAACATTTTAAGTACAAGCCCCTACTTAAGATTCCAAATTGATGATGTACATTTAAAAAAATATTAAAGATCAGAGTGCTGAATATAATATTCAAGAAAAACCTTTACATACTACTTTACATTTATATTGTCAATGATATTTTGAAAAATCAAGTAGGAAGCAGGAAATTTCCTTGTTTATGTTAAGAGTCTAGGCTGCAGGGTATAATAAAGGCTGGGGGTAATTTCCACTAAGCATCCACATCTTCTGATAGAATAGAAGTTGTATTCTACCCAGTGAGTGGCCAGCCTCAAAGATGTGTACACACTGGACAGTGTGTTCTGACACCTAATTTATAGGAGATATATACTTTCAAGGTGTCTATATGACTCAGCAGGCAAACAAGCAGGCAGAAGACATTAGGATCTCCAACTGTTCTCAAGTCAAAGATTTATTTAATTTTCAGTGGCAGTGTAATAGTTAATCATTTCTATGCCATAGGTTAGGCCATTAGGTCACTGAAGTGTTTTAAGTCTGTATAGAACTAAGAGCTACATTAATAAAAAGAACCTGTTACTTGCATTATAAAGACCAATCACTGATTTTAAAGGTGTCAGATTCTTATCAATGAGAAAACATTGTTATGCATAATTATTAAAGTATAGCTTTATTATTAAATTATTTTAATTATTAAAATAAGTCTTGCTAAGGATGACTTAATACCACTCAACTATCCATATACATGAATAAGACAGAGAACATGATTAGCATTATCAATACAAGTAGGATCTTACAACTGGTTCTAATGTTTATTATTTAATGTTGAATAGTAAGGTAAACTTAGTTAAATCGGAAAGCACTCTTTTTTTCAAATCCTTGACATTGTGTGCTGACACTATGAAACTCCCTATTAACTCAAAACTAGTGTGAACAAAGCAACACACATTTAGAGGCAGATCCTGACTTCGTTTTTGTAGCAACTGATTTTATGTTTTAAATAGATCTTCCTTTCATACTGGCATTGTACTTTAGGGGTTTCTATTTAATAAATGAATAGAAATACAGATAACTCCTGTTGGACTTAAAGAGTATTCCCATAGCTAGTCCTCAGAGCTCCAA